AAGGGTTTGGGAGGTTTCTTTTTTTTCGAAGTTTTGAGATCAAAATATTAAAAATACCCTTACCCTTAAAAACTTAGATCCATGATATATTAAGGGTATTTTTTATTATAAAATCGGTACACAGTTGCAAAATGTACCCAAACTGAAAAAAAGGCGTTTGCGGTAGCAAACCCAGATATATAATAGATATTAGATATATATATATTATAATATATATAGATTATATATAATATAGATAGATATATATATATATATATATATATATATATATATAATCAACTCATGTCTTTAGACGTAATTTTTCTATAATTATATTCAAACTGTAAAATTGTGTATTATCATCAGTAACTTTTTTGTAAGATTATATTCAAATTGTTTATTGTTGATTATATTCGATCAAATAGTTTTATGTATCGTATTTGAGTATTTATATTCTTTTCAATATTTTTATTTTTTTCATATAAAAATAGTTTGACTTTCAATTTCAAATATTTACTAACATGAATCTTTATTTAATAGGTAATATAAAAAGAATATTTTTTATTTTTTTTATCCTTAATTTTTTTTCACAGGAAAAACTTTTGTTTTGTTAAAATAATTTTCATATCTCTTAATAGTTAAAATTACTATGATATTTGATTTTTAAAAAAAATTTTAAAATATTTTTCATCTTATCACTCTCTTAATTATATATTTATTATTATTTATGGGAATTCATTTAATGTGTACGAAATTATTTTCAAGACGTACATCTAATATTTTTACCATTTTTAATATTTATTTGTAGTTTACTTTTATCATATAAAATACTATTTTGATGATTTTTTATATAATTATTTTTATTATCTAGTTCATTTAATAAGTTTCAATGTCATTGTCATGAATCTTGTTTATTATCATCTAACATAGATTGAACTTCAGAAAGATGAAAAATGTATATTAAATTTTAATTATTATTAGTTTAATATTTGTTTTTTATGTGATTTAGATTGAGTTCTTTATTATATTTTTATCAGTACATAAAAAATTAAATAAAATCTAAAGAAAGGAAATAAATAGACATTTAAAATAATTTTAAGCTTGGATACCTGTTTCTTTATAATATTTTTAAAATATTTTTTAATTTTATTATTTTCATTTCATCAAGGTTTGCAAATTTAATAAATATTTTGATTCTTATAATATTTTATCTTGTACTCTAATTTCATATGTATACAATTATAATTATAACTTTTTAAAATTGTTTGATTTTAGAAAAACAATAATACATAATTTTGATATTGAATATTTAATAATATCATGTTTTCTTTATCGTAATTTGTTTTATAAAAAGTAATTAATTGATATTAAAATAGTGATAAAAATAGTACGTGAATGAGAATAAGTATACACCCCATTATTTGATCGAGATGAAGATGGAATAAAAGTGTTATACCCGTGTATGGGTATGAGGCTTGATTTTTCTTTTGAAGATGAACGTGAGATAATAAAGTCGTTTTCATCTCACCCTGTCATCATTATTGTTTTTTATATTGTGTTATTCTTCAATAATGATTGTTTTAATAGTTTATTGTTGTTATAGAGTCATGTTAAACTCTTTTTAGAATATGTTGTNTTATTGTTTTTTATATTGTGTTATTCTTCAATAATGATTGTTTTAATAGTTTATTGTTGTTATAGAGTCATGTTAAACTCTTTTTAGAATATGTTGTGAGATACGTGATTTGTATGTGTATAAAATATTTTGCAATATTTAATTTCATTTTTTTTTGTCTTAGACTACCAACTTTTACGGTAAATATTTTTGTAGTTAGAATGACTTTGAATTATGAAGGATATGTCGATGCAGTATGAAAAAATGTCAACGAAATTGTTTTAAAAGAAGATCGACATAATTCATAAAGCTAAAATTTATGGATAATGATACTTTTTGACAACATTTCTTTTATAATATTTTAATATTATTTATGTGTCATTATGTGATTGGTCTTTGGTGTTTATGATTATTATTATTGATTGTGCACAGTAATTTTGAGTCAATCACATAATGACATGTAAATTATGTTAAAATGTTGTCAAAAAAATGTTGTCAAAATATCATTATCTAAAATTTTTAAAAAATAAGACGTCGAGGAAGATCGCAAGGAGATTATAACGTGGGTAAATTTGATTTGAATCATAGTGCTTCTTCATGCACTTTTCTTTTTTTTGCTGCTCCGAAATATTTTTGGAAACACTTAACGTGAAATGCATAAAAAAAATACATTTCAAATTGGATGTTTGAAAGATATTTCCATATTGGAAAATGAATTCCATAACTTATTTTTATATTCTGGAATAACTATTCTTGAATGTATTTCCGAACTCAAAAATATTTTCCGAAATAATCATTTTTTTTTCAAAAAGGTTGATTCGGAAGTTATTTTCGAATTGAGAAATACCTTCCTGAAGATTCATTTTGGAATGTATTTAAAATTGTGTTCTGGAATAGCCTTTTCGAAAAGTATTTCAGGATTCAAAATTAACTTTTGGAATGCTCATTCTGAAATTAATGTATCTAAAAAAAATAAATGCTGAAGCAGTGATCCATATATAATCTTCTAAAACATATATTTTTATTTATTTTTCATTCCTGTATTGTTTTTTATATTTNATCTAAAAAAAATAAATGCTGAAGCAGTGATCCATATATAATCTTCTAAAACATATATTTTTATTTATTTTTCATTCCTGTATTGTTTTTTATATTTAACTATAAACGTAAACAATTTTCTTTTAATAACGATAATTTACCTCACTTTTTTATAATTATTATAATTTTTTTAAATTAAATCCAAAATATTTTTCTATTTTTTAACATATTAAATATAAATTATAAATTATATGCACTGTTAAAATATTAGAAAAATTAGCAAAACGTTGCGAATGTGTTAAAACATGTAAAATTCATAAAAAACCACAACAAAATATAAATCCAATCTATTATAATTTTTTAAAATTATCATAATAATTGATAACATTGTTTTGTAAAATATGATACACTGAAAATTATAGCCTATTTTACTCCAACTCTTGATTAACTAAATTACAAAACCCATTTAAAAAATGTGAAAAAGTAAATGTTGTAACCTAATTTAAATATATTAAAAGTCTGACCGACCAGGCACGTTGGAGTTGTCAGCATCTTGCTCCAGCTCTCTGCGTGATTCATCCCATAGTTGCGTTTCAATATCCAACCTTCTGATTTCGGCAAGTCCACGTTCAACTGCGAAAAAGGAATAAAGTAGGAGCATTGACATATATTTGCAAGAGAAGGTTATAACAGCAGTGAAACTCTCACACACGTTACATAATTTTTTGTATTTATAAAAAGAAGTAAAATATAATATTAAATGAACCTAAAAGTTTGTTGCCTGTGAAAGTATCATTTACATGATTATAATTCACTTAATACATACTAACAAAAAATAGAATGATAACATTATAGAATGATAACATTGGATCTTTTAACTGCTGCAGCCGGTTTAAAATGCTGATTTGAATCAAAGTTTCACGTTATATAGAAAGATCCTTTAATATATTATTTTAAGATTTTAGATTAAGAATGATATCAAATTTTTACATGTTACATGGTTGAATTCAAATCTCGTTAGATATTATATTTGTTTAAGTGAATTTCCTTTTGAATAGATCCAGTTCATGGTATTTGCAAGTAGAACCACCAAGAAATATATAAAAGATACTTATGGTTATATCTTCTGCTAATACTGCTTTTCTTATTACATGCTAAAATATACCATAAAAGTGACAGCATTGTGCAGAACTATAATAGCAAAAGCTTAATTTACACGAAAAGTTTAATAGGGCTGTTGCAGGTAAATTACAATTGATAGGTAGGAAAGGGGTGGACAATACCGTCAACGGCATCTTGTGAATTAGGAATCTTTGAGTTATGATTGATCCAAAACTGTAAACGCTCGTATGCTATGTCAGGTTCTATTTCATGATTTTTTGCTCTCCTCCAAATGTAAGCAAGCCAAGCCTAATCAAACATGATTGATAAGAGTCCATATATACTCAAAATGAAAATAAAGTGAACAGTTAGGAAAATAAATGCTATAAATGTATGATTGTAAAAAATGATTTTATATTTATATTAATTTATCGTTCTTCTATTAATTTACAGCAATCTTAAAAAAATATGATGAAATCTCTTTTTTTTTTATTCACATACTTAGAAATTGCTAAATACCTGTTTAAAAGATACATCTTCAGCCTCCTCCTGACTCAAATCTGAAAATAAAAGATTTATACATAAATAACGTCAATCCAATTAAATATCAATTTATGTTATCGAGTGTCAATGTGAATAAAGCTACAGACGAGCAAGTTGTGGTGAGGATGATAAGGTATAAGGTAGACAAAACATGTAACATCAGATTGAATGGTCAAGACTATGTATGCATCTGACCTCTATAATTCTCACTTAACATACTCCATATCTCATATTTGAAAAAAAAATACAGTAAACTAAATCAAAGTCCCTAAGTTATTCAACTTCAAAAGTTTCAAAGCAGGGTTCAGTTACTACTCCCATCTAACATTATAACTCCACTTGCATTAAGTTTCAGCTTTTTAACACGTGATTGGGCAAAATGGAAACTGTAATCCAAAAAACTTACCAAATGCATCACACTGCCCTTCAACCGGTAGTTTTAGGTCATCTACACCAAAAAAATAAGAGTGTCAGAACTTACATATATCAATCTTTGAGTAAATGAATATGTGGATTTAAATAACTCTTAATAGTGTGATTCTACTATTTAAATAACTCTTAACAATATGATTATACGGATTCTCTTCCATCTTTCATAATTTCATAAGCAAAATTTATAACAGAAGCTAAATGACATATGACAACAGCATTTGCGGAAAAAGCTAACGTCTTTTTTTTCTTCCGACAACTTTGGAATAACATTCTTATCTCTCTCTTCGATTTTTATGAAATGCTTTTGACATGTGCATATGTAAAACGAGATAAAGGTTGAATGAATAATGGAGACAAATTAATGTATACTATATCAAATAAGATGATGAGAATGTACTAAACATACTATAAAATTAGAGTGAATATTGAATCGGGCACCTGAAAAGCCAAATCTTAACACATTTGGTCGCCTATGTTGAGCCAATACAAACGCCAATGCTTCCTCTACCTTCAAAACAGTCATGGAGAAGAAATCAAATCATAGATAGAATAATTTTTTTAGCAGTCAAAATAAGATGTTAACAGATGAATTAAATGTCATGAGTGCCATGTTGTTGGCAAATTTAGCTCTAAAAATAGTATGGCTGTTAGTAGTCATTTCACTGAATAACATAATTAGTATCTATAAGAAAAACAAAGTATTTCTAAAATTACTTTCCGACAAAAGTTAAAAATATGGATAGAAGGGCATTTCTAGATTTTAAATTCCTTGGTGAACCGACTAAAAGCCTAAAGGACTCATGTTTCTATTCAATAAAGACCCAACTTACTGAAAACCATGCACAAGATGGATGGTAAAAATAAAATTTACCTAGAAAAAAAATTACGTATAGACTAGTAATTTAAATTTTATTATTAAATTAAAATCTTCATACATTTTCAATGTCCAAATTATCCATTCTATCTTTGATAATAGTAATCAAACAGCACTTTAGTTTTACGTCTTTTTGACCCCTGATTCTAGCACCTCATGTTAGCACACTCTTCCAGGGAAGATAATACACGCTTGCTTACACATTATCATATATTCGATCCATTTCAGATAAAAAAGCTATTATGTGTTCTAGACTGAAAGAAGATATTTTAACATACATTTTTTTGAGAATATGTCACACGACACATTAATTTTTTACTAGTTCATTATTTATTTATCATTATACTAACATTTTTTAAATTTTAAAATAAAGATCACATGTATATTAAAAAAATCTATGTTAATAAAACGAAAATTTCACTAAAGATGCCTTTTTAATAGTACACCACCTGACACGTTTTAAGATTTTTTAATTGTATAATAGTAACAAGTAGATTTAATTTAGGACCAATAGCAATTACTCCTTATTCTGACGACCTTAATTAGTAAGATTCTATTGATAATGAGTTAACATCTTAGTGAATAATACGAGAAGAAGTTCTTCTGAAGAAAGGTAAGGATAAATTCACAACATTGTACTTGCGTGCGAAAAACACATGTCAGTATTTCAGTATCTACTACATTTGAAGCAATAAGGATATAATAGAAGAAACCTTTAGTGAAGCCAATTGTCGCAATCCTTGCTCGACAAAAAGCATGTTCTCAATGTTTCCCTCTCCTGAAAGTTCCTTTATATCACGTCGATTTTCTGTATCCTCTACATCGAGGTCTACCATGTAGAACAAAGCTCACGGATATTTAATCACCCGAATTTATTTTCAAGAACGGTGGAAACACTTAAAAATAGAACACAAGAAATTCGAAAGTAATTAATGTTACCTGCTTCCTCTTTAGCTTTCTGTCCTGCTGCTAATACAACTTCAACCGGATTCGGGGCGAACATAGACCAGTATTTGTATTTTGCTTCAGCAATATCAACATGAATACCTGGCATATATTTAAGTGCCATTAATGTATTTTTATTCTCCCTATTTTTTCTTTGAATAAAAAAACATAATTAATCCTAAGTAGAAAGTAAGTTCGTTAAGATGAAATTGCATGTTATTTTGTATACAAAATCCACAATTTAATTGCCCAATTTCGGCGGAATTAAAATAATTTTTTTTATATTCTTTTTATACTGCATTTATTTTTGTTTTGTTAAAGCTAGCTTCAAAATGGAACTGTATAATATTTAGATTTTAGAATAGATTAATTTTTAATCTTGTTATTAGTTATTGATTTTTTTCGTATTAAGAAGTTTTTGGAATAATACTTCCTCAACACCTACAATTTTTTAAAATAATTTTTAATTTATGTAATTTATTATTTTAATTAAAAAAATACAGATATTAATTATTTTGAAATTTCACCTTTATATATATATATACATATATATATATATATATATATATTCCTAAATAAGAGTTTATTTCTTAAATTTTTTTTAAAAAAACTCTTAATAAACTAATAAAAAATTATATAGATATTAAAAATTCCAAATACTAAATAATGTTAAAAAAATTAAATAAAATATAAATAAACTCAAGTATATTAAATTTAGTTTATAGTTAATTACAATATAATATTCTATGTGCTAATAAATAAAAATAATAAATAATAAAAATAGATGAAAATACAATAAACAAACTAAAGATATTTTATAGAAAAGAAATTGAAAAGAAATAAAAGAGATAGAAAGATGAAAGTCAATTGATGAAAAATAGAATAAAAAATTCGTGTATAACTCTCTTATTTTCTTAATTACTTTCTCTTTATCTTATATATATATATATATATATATATATATATATATATATATATATATATATACACACACACACACACATACCAAACAAACCCAATTGAATTCATTCTTTCTATTTATTTATTTTTTGGTAAAAAAACGTGAAACTATATATGTAGAATAAATTTGACTCACCACACACACAACCCATCAATTTTAAAATGTTTATTCTGACTCTAAACAAAAGTAAATGATACAAATGGTGAGATGACCATACCATGTTGAACGCATAAACCCCAATACCGAGCTAGCCAACACCTCTTTAAAGCAACCTCTTCCTGCGAAACAAAACGGAAAGCCACTACATAACAACGCAGAAGGCTATTAAAATTAAAACGAAACACATTACGATTAACATTAAACCTACCATTTCTTCCGCGTTGAGTATCATTCGTTGAGTCATAAGCCGTAGCTTTTCCAAAGCAACCGTCGCCTCGTCCTTATGCCAAATATGAGAAATTTAAATTGAAATTCTATAAACAAAATATTCCACGCATTCAAATAGCAGATTTAAAGCAGTAATATGAAACGTACAAGGTAAATTGCTGGATACCTCAGCATCCGACGCTTGAAAACCAAGATTCTTTGGTGCATTTTTCAGAGCGGCCTGAAAAAATGGGAAGATATTCATCATTCGACTTCCTAATCTCACTTTAATCAGAAATTTGGGTGACAATGACATGACTTCCGCATGCACGTGTTCCCGACACGTTTCCATATATATACATACATTAAACACAATAAGATGTTCAGTGTATTGATTTTCCATGTCAGTGAAATATGCTCGGATCGCCTAGTAATATGTGTAAAAAGAATTACAGTTGGTGGTATTTTATTCTCTTAAGTTAATTATAAAAGCATTACTCCAATGATAAAAAACAAGGTTCTTAAACTTACGAATCTGCTTTTATGCAATTTCGTTATTGGAATAATTTGTAGCAATTTATTAGTATTAAAATGCTGTCTTTAAATAAGAAACTCGCTCTTAATAAGTTCTAAGAATTGTGAGAATTATAAGAATAATTTCTAAAGGTTCAAAGTAAAATTTTAGACGGGGAAGGAAACTAGGACAAACCTCTCTTTGCTGCAGTGCTGCCTCTTTCCTGAAGAACAAAACGAACAATAGTGATGAAAGATAACTTACCCGATCACTTAAGGTATATTGCACAACTTAACGAAAAAAAAATTAAATCTTGATTTGACTATATCTTTTTGTTAATCTACTCTATTTTTCCCGCTGTAGTAGGTAATATTCTTAAAGCACACACTAACATTGAATTTATATGAATTTCTTTGTTTTAGTCAGCCAAATAGAATATTTATTATCCTCAACCTTCATATAAAACATATGCATAGACTAACAAAAGTTACATCATCATCCCAATGAATGTGTTTCTGTGTATTATCTCCTTCTTAAAACAAAGTTGACTCATTATAAATTTGTTTAATGCATTCTCTCAACTTACACTGTTCAAGAAAAAGCCTCCATCCTTCAAAATGGATTCAATAAATTGTGAATGTTAAGTTTATTGTAGAAAAATAATCATAAATGAATAAATAAAATGATTAATGAAAAAAAAAACTTCGAAAAATTATAAGTGGAAATCAACGCTCTTATAAATCATATCTAAATGGTAAGTGGAGTTAAATGTAAGGCAAACCACTAGTGTTGAAGTTATCAAAATGCCCTCATGTTAGTTTGATTTGGAGAAGATACCAAAATAAGATCCGTTATTAATTGAGTAGGGTCCATAAGTTGTTTCTCAATTCTCTTTTTCTATATTAACTCACATTTCATGGTACCTGCTTTCATGATCTAATATTGTATCGAAGTGTATAATTTGTAAGGAGAGAATTTATTAGGTACACCTTCGCCAGCTTACCACTTACCTGGCCAAAAGGCGAGCCTCCATAGTTACACCTTCGCCAAGATTAGCAACCTATACGAAAAGATGTGCAAGACTATTGATAATTAGTAGTCTTTGATGCTCTCTGACCAGTAGAACCATACAACGATACAGACATAGAAACATGAGATGATGCCAATGTAAGAGTCTTTCTATATGTATCCCACCATGTAATTCAAAATTGTGGAATGGTACGCCAACCTCAAGAAAACTAGTTGTATTAAATGTCAATAGAAAATTCCACTAATAATGCAATTAAATTAGAATAAAATAATATATTACTATAATATATCTATTTAAAGATCAAACGGCAGAAGTAGGCGCGCCTGGGAGACTGATAAAATTACAATTACATTCAAAAAGTGATAATTATCCATAAAATCTGTCAACGAGTTACAAATTTGATTTTTCTTAGTTATTTATTAGCATATTAGAGGATTTTTTTTTTACCATTTAGTCGTAATTCCTTAAAGAATATAACATGAATTTAAAAAAAAAAAGATGATGGTTGTTTTCTCTCATAAAAATGTTGAAAATGTCGTTAATTTGAATAATTTTCTATTGAAATTTTTATATATAACAATGACAATTTCCAACTTTTTATTTAAAATGAGAATGATTTCAGTTATTTTATTTTTAATTTGAAGTTGTATATACAAATACACCATATTTAAATAAAATAACTGAAGTCATATTTATGCGATTTCAGTTTAAAAATAAAACAACTTAATCATATTTATCATGCATGACTTCGATTTAAACAAAAATAATTAAATGTTGTCTTTACCATGTACAACTTTTAACATATTAATAAAATATTAATTTTTTTTTTAAAAAAAATGTATAACTTATGAGAAAAACAAATTAAAGTCATCCTTGTCATTCACCCTTTAATTTCAAACTCAAAGTAATTTCAAACTTAAAGTTAAAAACATGTTATATGTTATATGAAATCGTGAATGTCAAAAACAACTTATTGATCCCTATAATTTTTCTAACCGGAGATGACAAACTTCTAAATCATATTTACTTGCACAAATATCCGTTATTGTAAAAAAAAATGTGTCTCACGTTTCCCTGGTTGATATGAACATCATCAGGTGTATGATTCTGCATTAAAACTTTTTTTTTTTCATTTTAGATAATAAGGGTACTAATGTAAACTTATAGCCACATCTAAAATATTGCAGTAGCACATTCCTAATGGTTTGCTTGTTAACAAAGAGACAAACATTGCCCGAGATGGACACTATCCCTCAAAAGTATTACCTGTTGTTCTAGTTGCCTGACTCTTGATTCAGCTTCCTCAAACTTCTCTTCTGCAAGTCGAACCTGCGGAGGATATACACACATTTTTTTCAATTAATGAATGTCTATAAACAAAATCAGCTTTTATAATGAAAAAAAAGTCCATGTTATTTGCATTCAGCCAAATTATAAACATTCGCATGTGAATGCTAAGCTAGTAATATAATCTAGCACAAATTATATCTGAATCTAAAAAGAAACTATTGTATCTTATCTAAATATAAACCGAACAACAGATGGAATGAAGAAAAAAGAGATACACACGATTCTTTCTTCTACAATGTTACAAACATCCATTTAGAATCTCAAAACTTGAATGTTTACAAAAAACATGCTCAAACTATTGCATTTTATCACCTTTTCAACCAAATTGTCATTTTCTTCTTGTAACATATCAAGCTGCATTAAAATTCACATCGCATTAGTAGATTCCTGAAAAGAGACAGCAGCCATGCATGGCCGAACCCGTTGAAGATTAAGAAATGCAAGGCCGTAAGTTAAATGGGGATGAAAGGGAGGAAGGAGTAAGTAAAATACAGAACGTGTAGCTTGATTAGTGCCACCGATATGAAAAAAAAGGACATCAAAAGCATGCATATGACCCTAATAATTAGATCGCGCATGGACCCATGTACTACCTCGTCTTCAAGCTCATTAGTAGGTTGCTGCTGATTGGCGCTTTCTCTTACCTTCATACTACCCAGATCAAGAGACAATCTACACAGGACATAAAAAAATCATATAGCATTATATAGATGATTAGCGTGGGAGATCTAATTTTGGATCTGAATGTCATCCCTAACTTTATTTACGACGTGCATTTTAAAAACTTAAGATTGTAAAACTGTGATTCATTATCAGATTTAGTCTTTTGTTAGTTTAGGTGGACCAATCATGAAATGACTTTTCACCCGAATTTTCCAATTGGATCAAACCTCTCAAGTTAATGAATGAAATATTTTCGCTGATTAGAATTTCCAATCAGCAGCTAAAATCGTGGAAATAAAAACTATATATTTGAAATTAATTATAATTTCAATAATTTTTAATTAATGATTATTACTTTAGGTTATGTTTTCAAAAGTAACCTCTTTTATTTTTAGAAAATGAAATCCGAGTTGTGAGAAGAGAGTGCAAGAAATACTACAAGGAAGTATATCACTCCGAGCACAATTCTCTTTAAGGAAAAAGTTTTTTTAATTTTGATAATTTTTTTAAAACTGGTAAAATGTGATTGATCCATTTTTAAAATAAATTCAAACAAACCAAGTGACTAGACGTATTCTATAAAAAAGTTGTTAAAAAAAAAGTTGTTCCTTCTCTTTAGTACTGGAGAACTCCAGTATGAGAAACCACACATTCCACTTGTCTTTCTCTCGTATGTGGGAGCTTCAGTGGTGGAAAACAACAGTTTCTATGACTTCAGTGTCTGATATTTTCTTGTTAAGGAAATGTAAAAGAAAGAGCAGGAGTAGCAGCATACCTTCTGTCTTTTCTAACATCAGTAAGAGGCTCAGAGGGTGGAACACCAGCAGAAGAGGCTGGTCTGAGGGTGATAGGTACACTAGGAGGCACCATGGGAACCACCTTAGAAAGTCCACTGGGACGGCCGACGGTTGAGCGAGCAGAGGGAGGTTGATCAATGCTCGCGCTACTGGGTTGAGTTGACCGTGTCGATATCATAGCGCGAGAAGAGGGAGAAAAATCCAAAGATCGGTTTCCCGACGCCGAACGAGCAGAGGGTGGTTGTTCTGCGTTATTCAGTACTGTGGGTGTCTGCTCAGCAGGAAGAGCATTTAAAACGGGAGATGATCGAACGTTAGATGTGCCTCTCAAAGATTGTGGCTGCTCTTGAACAGCGCGAACTGACTAAGGCAAATTAACAAAATCAAAGTTTCATCAACTTTATCAAATTACTACTCATTCTAAACTAACAAATTAGTCCCTCCATTCAACTAATTAAAAAAACACTTTAATTAATTCACGTTATATAGTAAAATTAGTTTAAAACAATAAATTACTCAAAAAATATATTATTGCTTTAAATATAAGTATGTCTTTGTATTATCAAATTAGATTAAAAAACTTTATATCTCATTCATTTTACATATCTAATGTTTTAATAAAACACTTTAATTAGTTAAGAATGTTTTAGAAAAAAAAATTAATGCATGTTTTAATTACAAAGGAATAGTAAAAAAAGGATAACAACTATTTAAAAAATATATATAAATATACAAATCTGTGTCATCTGGTTCTTACATTGAAAAAGCCTTCCTCTTCTTCTTATTCAAACTCCAACTAACAACCAAACTTGGTAGATTAAAAAATAACTACCTAAACACTCTTTAAAACCTTACCTATTGAAATAGCTTTCACACTCTTGTGTCCAATTAAATTAATGAGTGATACTAATATAATCTACACTCTTCCAATACACTTTTTTTTTTTGTTAATCTTAAGATTTCTTAAAATATTGTAAAATCTAAAGTAAATTTCATCATACAGAGTAAAACAAATAATTTAATAATTTTATTAGTAAATTGTAGAGATTGTGTCGAAAGTATTTCCCATTAAAATGGTAGGCAGAGAAGCTAATTACCGCTGGGGATCGAGATCTAGCAGATAGCGAAGGATCTTGCGTGAGGCGAACTGACTGAGAGAAACAAAATCAAAAGTGTTCATCAACTTGTGTGATTCCAATTAAGCAGCCTTGAATATGAATATATACATCATTGCAACGAAAAATCCAGTTACCGCAGGAGAACGTGATCTCGCAGATGGATTTTTATCTTGAAGAGAGCGAACTGACTAAAAGAAACAGAACAATTTTAACACCTAAACTAACACCGGAGACAAATTTCAAATAAACCACTGCGATCAGATCATCAAGCCAAATTACCATCGGTGACCGGGACCTTGCAGACGCTGCTGGGTCCTGAATGCTACGAACTGCCTAATAGAACAGCGGCAACAACAACATCAAATTCGAATCACGTTCAATTAGAAAATGAGGAAATATATGCAACCAAAACGGTGAAGGTGGTTAGTTAAGTTACCATGGGAGAGCGACTTGGCATCGGTCTTCCACCACCGAGGCCAATGCCTCCGGCGCCGGTGATTGAGGAGTAGTCGAGAGGAACGTCATCGTCGTCTTCACCATCGTCGTCCGTTTGCGACATGACCTGTGCGAGTCTCTGTGCGGCGGCCTTGGTGGCAGTGTTCTGTGCTCTTCGGATACCTGCCATGGCGGAGCCAGTGGAACCTGTACGCGCGTGGCGGTTCACTGGCGTTATCGTGCTCCCCGGCGATGAAGGCGTCGTCGGCATCCCGGAAGAGCTGTTCTGCCTTTCGTACACTCTTCGCCTATCCATCTAGAATCCAAGAAAAGTAAACAGACATAAATAAATACCAGAAAAAATTATCACATTCTCACACATGTATTATAAAGATATGGTAAAACTTGCTTTGATCTGTGTCTGGAAACAGGAATTTATTTCAAAATAGGAAGAATCAGGAAAATTTAGTATCCAAATTCATTGGTTGGCTTAACCTAATATATTTTGTATTTTGCATTAGAGAGGCATTGGTGTAAGAAGAAAAGGGAGAAAGAGGAAAATGAAATGAGTAGTGGAAGGGTCTTGGAGTGGTATCCTGCTATTGTGGAGGGAGTTGAGGATCTGTTCCCAAAGGGAGACACGTTATAGGTTGGAAACTTTGGAGGTGCATCTTGTAACGGTTTCCCTCTTTTTCTTTTCCTATTTATTTATACAGAATTTTGACAGTACAAAAAGTTATGTAAGGATGAAATGAAAGAAAAGATAATCGACGCCAGCAAGACAAAAAAATATTGAGCGATGTCTTGTGAGCAAGACGTGTTTTTGGATTAATAACAAATTGCATTAAGGGAGAATAAGATGGAATTTTGAATAATATATTATTTAATAAATTTATTAAAATAGTCATATTATATATATATATATATATATATATATATAT